GTGTAAAGGCACTGAGGTGGGCAAGGACTTTGCTTATCTGAGTGACATAAAGGAGACCAGTGTGACTGGAGCTGAGTGAGTGTGGAGGGGATGGGATGGTGGAGTGGTGCAGGCTGAGGCTGAGGAGGGAACGATGGGCTGTAGCTTAGGTTTTAAAAACAGGGGCTTGGCCGGCCCTGTGGCTTGGTGGTTAAGTGCGCGCGCTGCGATGCTGGTGCCCCGGGTTCGGATCCCGGGTGCGCATCGAGGCACCGCTTCTCCGTTCATCCTGAGGCCGAGTCCCACATACAGCAACTAGAAGGATGTGCAGCTACGACATACAACTATCCACTGGGGCTTTGGGGGGAAAAAATAAAATAAATAAAATCTTTAAAAATAAAAAAAAAATAAAAAAAAATAAAAACACGGGCTTGGGGTGATGAATTTGGATAGACGTTTCTCTAAAGAAGATATACAGATGGCCCATAAGTGCATGAAAATTTGCTTCAACGTCACTAGTCCTTAGGGAAAAGCAAATCAAAACCACATGAGAAACCACTTTACATCTACTAGAATGACGATAATAGAAAAGATGGACAATCGTAAGTGTTGCTGAGGGTGTGGAGAATTGGGAACCTTGTCATTGCTGAGGGGATTGTAAAATGGTGCAGCTGCTGTGGAAAACATTTCCTCAAAATGTTAAATATGGAGTTACCATATGATGCAGCAATTGCACTCCTGGGAATATACTCAGAAGAAATGAAAACATGTGTCCATGTAAAAACTTGTGCGTGGATGTTCCTAGGAGCACTATCCCCAATAGCCAAAGGTGGAAACCACCCAAATGTCCCTGAACTGGTAAATGTGAAACAAAAGGTGGTACATCCATACAGTGGAATATTACTGAGCAATAAAGAGGCATAAAGCACTGACACATCCTACAACGTGGATAGCCCTTGGAAACATGATGCTAGATGAAAAAGGCCAGTCACAAAAGACCACATATTGTAGGATTCCATTTATGTGAAATGTCCAGAACAGGCAAATCCTCAGAGACAGAAAGTAGGTTGGTGGTTTCCTAAGGCCAGGGGCAGGAATGGGGAGTAACAGCTTATGGATATAGGGTTTCTTTTGGGGAGATGAAAATGTTCTGAGATTGACTGGTGTTTGTTCTCAAGCTCTGTAAATATACTAAAATTCATTGACTTACACACTTAGAATAGGTGGCTGTCATGGTATATGAAATATATCTCAGTGAAACTTAAAAAAAATCAGTAGGCCGAATGAGAAGAAAAGGAACTATTGATACATTTAACAGCATGAACGAATCCCAAAAATAATTTTACTGGATAAAAGAAGCCAGACAAAAAGGAGTACGTACTCTGTGGTTCTACTTATACAAAATTCTAGAAAATACAGTCTGACCTGTGGTGACAGGAAGCAGATGAGTGGCTCCCTGGGGCCCAGGAGTTGAGGGAGGGCACGGGGCAAGCAGAGAGATGACGGGATGCTGGCCGTGTTTGTTATCTTGACTGGTGATCTGTGTTTCACACGTGAAAACTTAGCATTTTGTTCCTTTTTAATATGTGTAGTTTGTTGTGTGTCAGTTATGCCTTGATAAAGCTGTTTAAGGGTAATCAGTCTGGATGCTGGGTGGAGCGTGGCTTCACAGGGGCAGGATTGGAAGTTGAGGAACCAGCTGGAGGTGTTGGCAGGAGCTGCATGAGGGGTGGTGGTGCTCTGGGCTGGGGTGACGACCACAGAGAGAAGTTGACAGACTGAAACATGCTTTGGAGGCAGAACCCGTTGGACCTGGTGATGGATATTGGGGGTGGAGGAAAGACAGGAAAAAGAGCGATTTTTAGGTTTTTTGCTTAAGCAGCTAGATATATAAACAGTAATGCCATTAACTGAGGGAAGAACAGGTTTGGGGAGGGGGAGAATCACATGCTCCCAATACGTATATTGGTCTCTGGCCCTGGATCCTGGCACAGAGCCTAAAACCCTTGTAAATTCCCAAGTGATAAGAGCACTAGGAGCGTCTTTTGTTCTACTGAGGTGACTCTGGGGGGCTCCTGGATGGCTCCTGGATGGGGGCTGGTCACCAGAAAGAGCAAGCCGTGATGAGAAGCTTGGAATTGTCAGCCCCGACCTCTTCTCCAGAGAGGGGAGAGGGGCTGGAAGAGGAGTTAACAATTGAACTTGCGATTGTGTCTGAAGTGGGGGTGGTCTTGTGGGACTGAGCCCTTAACCGTGGGATCTGACGCTGTCTCCAGGCAGGTGGTGTCAGAGTTGAGTTAAATTGTAGGCACCAGCTGATGTCCCAGAGAATTGCTTGGTGTGGGCACTTCCCCCACATCTGGTGTCAGAAGCGTTGTGAGTGTGGCCGTAGTGTGAAGGAAGGGAGACACACAGGAGGGAAAGCACAGGAGGGAAAACGGCGGTTCTTCTCACACGGGAGAGAGCTGGACTGTGGAGGTAGAGTTAGGGGCACCAGCATGTAGACGGTGTGTAAAGCCCTCGGCCTGGGTGACATTGCCGAGCAGAGGGTGTAGATGGAGAGCACAGAGGGTCAGAGCCACCCGGGGAGGCCCAGAGACTGTGCTGGGGCGGTGGGTGAGGGGCAGGTGCGCCAGGACTGGAGAGCTGTCATGGAGGAGGGCGTGGCTGCCGGGCTGGGTGCTGGTGAGTGAGAGGAGGAGGGTGGGGCGTGCATTGGATATGGTGACATGAGGGTCCTTGGTGACAATGGGCAATTTCTGTGGAGCGGAGGGGCTGGACTCCAGGTTGGAGTGGTTGAAGCGGGCACAGGAGGTGAGGAAGTGGAGTCAGCAAGGGCAGGCCTCTTGCTGGGTTTGTTGTGCTGCGAAGGGAGCCGAGATACAGGGCGGTAATGGGAGGGGCGTGGGGTTGAGGTTTCGTGTGTGTACATAAATGTTTAGGATGGGGGATAGCAGGACGTGTCGGAATGGGGCGGGGTAATGGAAGGGGAGCATAGGAAGAGGGAACGTTGCAGGGGCAGTGTCTCCTTGTGAAGATCAGGGGATGGAATCCAGGGCACATGTGGAGGGCTCTGCTCGGAGAGGAGGCAGTGGAAAGGGAGGAGGAAGTTCAGATACAGGCGACTTTCCATATTCATGATGAGAAGACCAGGGGTCTCATCAGCTGAGAAGTCTCAGGAAGTGGGGGAAGGTGTGCTGTGGCAGGAGAGCAGTAAGTGAGCGTACAGTAGGGCCCTGGAGGAATGCTGGGGCTCAGATGCCTGGGGGTTGTGGTTATGAATTGAAGGTGAAACTGGCCAAACTGTTTGTGTGAGTTTTTTTCTTTTTCTCCAGCAACGTGGAGTTGCTTGGATGCAGGTGGGAGAAGTTGGACAGGTGGGTTCTCTCAGGGGCCTGGCAAAACAGACCTCAGTGGAGGAGGAGAAGGGCAAGCAGAGTGAACGTAGAGCTGGCCCGAGAACCCCGCAGGACAGGCGGGTGGGCGGGGTGATGGGAGGGTGGTGGGCCTCAGCGGGTTGTCTGTCTCAATGAGGTTGAAGGATTGAGCAGAAGAAGTTAGAATGAGTTTACTGGAAGGACAGTAGGTGGTGGTCCCAGAGGCAAAGCGTGAAATTGAGACTTGGGCAGAAGTGATTACAGCTGCAGGGGTGGCCGTGGGGGAGGTATGGAGATGGGTGGGTGGGGTCTTTGGAGGTGAGCAGGTTAGGACCTGAGGGGCCGAGGGCTGGATCTGCATGTGTGTAGTGTATGTGTACATGTTACGGTGAAGGACGACAATCGGTGTGGGATGGAGGGACGACGGTGAGCCCTTGAGGTGGGAGAGGGTGCAAGGGGCAGTGACTGGGCCAGTGTGGGTGACCGCGACGAGGGCAGCAGGGCTGTGGCTGTAGGAGGCAGGAGTGTGAAGGAGCCGTGGTCTGGAAGTGGCGTGGAGAACAAGGAAGGCTCTCCTCACCTTCCTCCCTGAAGCATGTGGGGTGTGGGGAGAAAGCAGCCTGCACTCGGTGGCCGCAGGGGCGGCGGGGCCTTCATGTGAGACCAGGTTTAGTGCAGGCAGCGGTGAGAGAACCTTGGGGAAAGGCTGAGGACCCAGGGGACCGAGCCTGCACGTGGGAGGGCACATGAGCTTGGCAGAGGCAGTGCTGAGAGTGGAGACTCGGGGAACTGGAGGACACGGGCCTTCTCCTCAGGGACGTGGCCGTCTTACGCATGACTTCCAGGGGACTCATTTGCCAAAGAGAAAAGGAGCCTGAAAAATACAGTCTTCCACAGGCTCAGTGTGACGAGCCAGTAGATGCCAGTTCCACAGGCAGTTGCCGGCTTTATGAGGACGTTGGGACCAGCTGGCTCTATCAGTGAGGGGCTGGGGCCTTTGCAGCTGTGAGGAGAGGCAGGCTCCTGGGAGGTCAGCCCCCACATGGACCCAGCACGGAACCACAGACCGTGGGGAAGGGGCCTTCCTCAGCACAGCCCACGCCCGCCTTGAGGGGACTCCTGTTGTCAGGGAGCTTAGCCGCATGGATCTGGGCTCCTCCTCTCTGCTCCTTCCTAACAGAGGGCTTGGCTGGCACACATTTTAGGAAGACTTCTTCCTTGCAGGTTTCTTTACTTTGAATTGCATGAGGCCCTGATTCTTCCTCAAGTAACTTGCTCTGCGTCCTTTTAATGCTCCTTTCCATGCTAAATCTTTCCATGCTCAGTCTTTCCCTGTTAGATCTCAGAGAGGGCACTGATTAGCCTAGCTAACCTTTTAGGTCCAGCCATGCAGAATTGCCATAGATCAGATGCCCACCCCTGCGCTGGTTCCCTGGGCCAAGGGTGGGGTCGCACATGGCTGCCCAGGGCGGTGGGACTGGTGGATGTCTCTGGTATGGAGAGCAACGCGGGGCAGCGGGTTTTCCCATTCCGGGTGACGGGCACAGACACTGAGAGGGTTCGGTTCCCCGGGGAGTGGGAGGGCAGGGGTGAGGAGGCCGCGGCCGTGGGCTGGCAGGCTAACTGTGCTTCCTCTTCCCGCAGCACTGACGTCTTCATCTGCACGAGCCCCATCCAGATGTACAAGTACTGTCCCTATGAGAAGGTAAGACGTGCAGCTCGCTCGGGCAGGCTGGGGCTTCGCCTCTTGTCGACTTTCCCCCACATGTGGCAGGTAAGGGGTGCTGGCGTTCAGCACACCCAGCAAGAAGGGCGCTGACCCTCAGTGCAGCTGCTGGCCGGCTGGGGCAGCTCGTTTCTGCCTCTTCTCCTGTCGATCCCTCCCGTCTTTCTGCCAGGGTCTGCTGTCCTGAAGACCCTCCCTAGCCCTCGTCTGAGGTTCTGTCGCGGTCTCTGGATGGAGCCTGGTGAAGATGCCAGGTGCTCTGGGAAGAGTGACCATCCACACTTTAGCACAGTGTCATTTGTGAAGGATGGACAGAGAGAAAATGTGTCAGGGGAGGGGTGGGAGGCAACCCAAACCCAAATATTAGGGCATGTGAATTTATTTACACGAAAAGTCTGACAAAGGTGAAACCGTTAAATTATGTTTTGGTACACACTCCTCGCTTTATCTTTATTGAAAAAAATAGAATTACGTGAAACTGAGGCTTTTCTGGAAGTTGGGGATGTCTGGTTGCCAAACCCAGAGGAAAGATCTGTTGCCCAGGAGGCAGGCATTCACACCAGAGGTGGTTCGGGGCCCGGCCCCCTCCCCTGGGGAGTCAGGGCAGCCTCCCCGGTCCAGGAGAGTGGGATTTGGAGCCAGAACCTCCCTGCTCTGCAGGCTTGGCACAACCTTCAGCAGTTCTCTTGAGGGTCTTCACATCGCCTCTCCTCTCTCCGGCTCCGTGATGGAAACAAAACGTGCACCGTCAGCCAATGTTAAGTGCCTTTTTCTGTGCTTTAAATGGGACGGGAACTCACACTTACCACGCGGTTATAGTGGTGTCACGCGAGGTGCTCGGCGCCCACCATTTCATCGCATGCTCACAGCACCCCATTCCGTGGTTGTCCCTACACCCTTTTAGCACGAGGAACATGAGTTTAGTGGAACTCAGGGGAGCTAATGACTTACGCACGGTCAGTAAGTGTGGAGTTAGGACTGAAGGCCAGGTCCACTGTGTCTAGTAGAGCAGTGGTCCAAAGTCAGATCCCCCAGACCAGTGGGGTCAGCATCCCCTGGACCCTTGTTAGGAGAGGACATTCTCCGGCCCCTCCTGAGACCTGAATTGGAAATTCAGGGAGTAATTCTGTATCTTTTAACAAGCCCGCCAGGTGCACCCTTAAGTTGGAGAACTGCTGGGCCAGAGTAACGATTTCAACTGGGATTACACTGGGTCGTTAGGAGGATGGTCCAGTAGTTACTGGATTAATAGGTTGGCTGTCATTCGTCTATGCCCCTGGATTTCAGTGTCATCTGCATTCCCACCATCATACCTGTTGTAGCCTCAGCCAGGACTCCCCTCTGAGCTCCGGACAGCTCTAACCTGATGTGTCTGTCCCTGGGGTCCTGATGTCCCCATCCCGCATCTGTCCCTTCCCTCTCAGGCTGTTATCCCAGTGACATCTTCTTACCCCTCAGATCCAGCACATCAGGAGGTCATATTTCCTGTTGATGCTGTTGCTACATCTGTCTGGCATCTGTCTACTTCTCTCGCTCCCCATTGCCACCACCTTAGCATTTCTTTCCAGAACTACTAAGATGGCCTCCTAACCTGTTTACTTCAGTTCCACACAGGGCCAGAGTAGGTCTTTCATAAGCAGCTCATGTCAACTCCCTACTTTAAAACCTTTTAATGGTTTCCCACTGCACTTAAAATAGAACTAAATACACGCACACACACACACACACACACACACACACACACACACACACAAACTCCTCACCATAACCCACAAGGCCCTGCCCAGCCACCTCTCCCACCTGTCTTAAGTTCCTCCTCTCCATTCGTGATGCTCCACGTTGCTCTGTTTCTTGAGCATGCTGGGCGTTCTTGCTCCGTGCTCTCACATGCTGGGCGCTCTGCGTGCCTGGTTCCTCTTCATCCATTAGGGCTCAGCCCCGCTCCCCTCCCAGTTCCTGCCCGTGTCTAAAGTGTGTTCTTTCTCCGCCTTGTTCCATGTCTCAGACCTTGTTTCTTGTGTGACACTTACACCATTTGAGCTGAGTTTATTTCTTTGTCCCTGTCTTGTTATCTGTTGTCTCCTGCGCTAGAGTGCAGGATCCCTGAGGGCGGGGACATGACTCTCTTTCCTCCTGTTGACCCCAGCCCCAGCACAGGGCCTGGCATGTTTTACACGCTCAGTGTTTGTTGTTGGACGCATAGATTCATTTGTGCAACAGAGAGTTATCAGACATCTTTCAGTAATAACGTTTGGCATTTATTTCACGCCTCTAATATGCCAGGCGCTATACCTTTATTATCATTTTTAAGGCTTACCACAGCTCCTTGTGAAATAAAATACGCTTCTGAGCTGACAAGTCAAGAAAGGCTAAGAGAGGGGAGGCAGCCCACATACTGGGTCTCTGATCATGCAGGCAGTGGGTCTGGGTCCAGATCTGTGCGTCCCGGAGCCCGCGCTCTTAGCCACTTCTGCAAGCAGCACATGCTCGCTGTAGAGGGTTTGGAATCCAGTGAACGTGTAAGAAGAGGATATCACTTAGGACTCTCTATTCACAGGCAGCATCAATGGCTTCTGGCTAACTTAAACAAAAGTAGAATTTATTAGAAGGATGTTGGTTTGCTCAGAATCTAAGGAAAATCTGAAGAAGCAGGCCTTAGACGAACAGCTTGGGGGCCGACAGAGGTCTCTTCAGCGTATCTGCTTGAGAACCACTGCAGTTCCATTCATTCTCCATCTGTGGGTTTCTTTGCCCAAGATTCCTGTTCCCAGGAGAGAGAGGCTTACCAGCTGAGCTCAGGTCACATGCCAGCCCTTGGCCAGGGGAGGGTGGGCATCCTGATTGACGTTCCATTAAGGATGGGGGTGGCTTTGCAGAGAAAAGTTGAGGTGCCATTAGCAGAGGAAGGGGTGCAGGGACGGTGGATGCCATGGCCAGAATAAACAAAGGAGAGACAGCGGCAAAACCCCATGGCTGCAATCCTACCGCCTAGCAATAGAAGCACTGTTAACATTGATGTGTTTCTAGTTTTTCTTTGATGCATATTAAATATAATATATATATGTTTTAACAAAACTTAAATTGCAGGGCCGGTCCCGTGGCTTAGCGGTTGGGGGGGGCGCGCTCCGCTACTGGTGGCCCGGGTTCGGATCCCGGGCGCACACCGACGCACCGCTTCTCCGGCCATGCTGAGGCCGCGTCCCACATGCAGCAGCTGGAGGGATGTGCAACTATGATGTACAACTATCTGCTGGGGCTTTGGCGGACAAAAAAAGGAGGAGGATTGGCAATAGATGTTAGTCTATTAAGTGTGCAATAGCACGTCTAGAAAAAAGTGTACATACCTTAATTAAAAAATACTTTATTGCTAAAAAATGCTAACCATTGTCTGAGCCCTCAGCGAGTTGTAATCTTTCTGCTGGTGGAGGGTCTTATAAAAAACACAGGATCTGCGAAGCTCCATCAAACAAGGTATGGGTGTGTAGAGGGACGTATCTCAGCATAACGAAGGCCATACCTGACAAGCCCACAGCCAACGTCATGCTCAGTGGTGAAGAGCTGAAAGCTTTCCCTCTACGATCATGAGCAAGACAAGGATGCCCACTCTTATCACTTAGATTCAACGTCGTACTGGAAGTCCTAGCCACAGCAGTCAGGCAAGAAAAAGGGAAAAAAGGCATCCAAATTGGAAAGGAAGAAGTAAAACTGTCACTATTTGCAGATGATGTGATATTATACGTAGAAAACCCTAAAGACTCCATCAGAAAACCTTTAGGACTAATAAACGAATTCAGTAAAGTTGCGGGATACAAAATCAATACACAAAAATCTGTTGCATTTCTATCTGCTTACAACAAACTATCAGAAAGAGAAATTAAGAAAACAATTCCATTTACAATTGCATCAAAAAGAATAAAATACCTAGGAATAAATTTAACCAAGGAAGTTAAAGACCTGTACACTGAAAATTACAAGACATTAAGGAAAGAAATTGAAGAAGACACAAATAAATGGGAAGATATTCCATGCTCATGGATTGGAAGCACTAACATTGTTAAAATGCCCATACTACCCAAAGCAATTTACAGATTCAGTGCAAGCCCTATCAAAATTCCAATGGTATTTTTCACAGAAATAGAACAAACAACCCTAAAATTTGTATGGAAGCACAAAATTGCCAAAATTTATATGGAAACTGAACAGCCAAAGCAGTCTTGAGAAAGAAGAACAAAGCTGGAGGCATCGCACTCCCTGATTCCAAAACTATTACGAAACTAAAGTAATTAAACCAGTGTGGTACTGGCATAAAAACAGACACATAGATCAGTGGAACAGAATAGAGAGCCCAGAAATAAACCCAGCAAATATGATCACTTAATCTACTACAAAGGAACCAAGAACCTACAATGGGGAAAGGACAGTTTCTTCAATAAACGCTGCTGGGAAAACTGGGTGCCTGTCTCACACCATACACAGAAATTAATTCAAAATGGATTGAAGACTTGAATGTAAGACCTGAAACCATAACACTCCTAGAAGAAGACATAGGTGATAAGCCCCTTGACATTGCCCTTGGCGACGATTTTTTGAATCTGACACCAAAGACAAAAGCAACAAGAGCAAAAATAAACAAGTGGGACTACATCAAACTGAAAAGACAACCTAATGAATGGGAGAAAATAATTACAAATCATATATTCGATAAGGGGTTAATATCCAAAATATATAAAGAACTCATACAACTCAATAGCAAACAAACAATCCAATTAAAAAATGGGCTGGACGTCATTCCAAAGAGGACGTACAAATGGCCAACAGGTACATGAAAAGATGCTCAGCATCAGTAATCATCAGGAAAATGCAAATCAAAACCACAGTGAGATATCACCTCATGCCTTTTAGAACGGCTACTATCAAAAAGACAAGAGACAACAAGTGTTGGCAAGGCTGTGGAGAAAAGGGAAGCCTGGGGCACTGTT